TTTATGTGTGCTTTAGTATATTAGTCAACACATCAAAGTCAGTGTACGTCTTTAAATCAAGACAAAAATCATGTTTTTATTAAAACATGATTTAAAATAAACATTAAAATAAAACTTTTAATTTGACATTATTATTATACAGTGTACTTAACTGTTTAAAAACATTGCCATGAAAGTGTACTCTCTTTAATTACACTTAATGACACTTCATTAAAATTATATTATCAGAATGTAGTTTTTATATATATATATATATATATATATACGATTTAAAGTACACTGCAAATTAATGTAAGGGACAAGAAAATGGTCCTTCATTTTAATAACATTCTGTCCTCTTTTGAAGGAGTCTACACCAAGAACAGAAACTTCCGTCTCTACAAGTCCTCCAAACTGGGAAAGAATGCAGCATTTTGTGTGGCAGAAGACAACAAGTTTGTCCCAAAGCCCTCCAAGCACACCACAAAAGAAGAATACATATTTTTAGCTTCCTTAATCACCAATATCAGGTTATTTGTATGCATCTTTACATCTTTGTGTAAACATGTTATCCGCATTCTGGTGGGGCCAGCTTTTTTTGTGATTGAATCTTTGTTTTAGAATACTGAATTTTACACACACTAACTAACACACATATCTGTTTTGCATTAGTTTCACAGGACAGAGGATTTTGACTTATGATATGCCACAGAAGAGTACAGCAGGATCTCAGTGTTCGACCCTTCAGATAGAGTCACACAGCTCTGGTAATGAGAAATACAAATTAACACCCCCAAGTGCTATCAGTGGTTTCTAAGAATAGGATTTGTGAGCAAATTAACTCAATGTGGTTCACTTAAAATGTGCATTTACTGCATTTACCCTGCTTGAATGTCATGCTTTACTGTTCACATCATTGACAGTTAACTACAAGTGGACACTTTTCACTCTGCCCTCTCCATATACTGTAGATCTGTTGGGTGAACAGAAGCCGTCTCCTTTTAAAGAGGTGGATGAATTTGTGCTGACACTTGTGTGCAAGGATCGCATTCAAGGAAGTAAGAGATGGTGCCATGCTTTCATTGTACCTCAGTTTCTTTCAAATAAAAGAAACTTGTTTGTCCCTCATGTAACTCAACGCACTTTTTCACAAAAGGAATTACTTCAGCTGAAAGCTTTGTGAACTGAATGTCACATTTACCCCAAACAGGCATCCGGCGATGGAACTACTTTGCATCTGAACAGCTGTTGGTTTATGATATTGAGAAATTCCGCTGGTGCCACAACGTGAAGCGCTTTCACAAGAGCAATAACATCATGTGAGTCTGTACTGCTTTGATTTGCATTACTTTACATTGTCTGTTTGATGGTCTGTAACAATTATGGATGCTCTTTATTCTTCTTTTTGACAGAATTGTGGTGGATCTCAAAGAGGAAGTGTGGTATCAAAGATGCCATGACCCTGATTGCAGAAGACAGAACTACAGATCCTCCAGTACGTTCCACAGAAGAATAAATAGCACCACATAAAACCTTTTACTTTCTAGCTACTATATAGCTTTACTACTATAGCTTGTACTGCCACTAGATGTGACAGTGTTTGCTATAGATGTGATATTGCTTCTAGATAAGAATCTGTTAAGATGTAGTGTTGTTATTGTTAACAAAACATATTATCATCATTTTCTGTAAAGCTGAAATAAAATATGAATATATTGCCTCAGCAACTAACTCAAATACGTTCAGGCTGAAGTAGTAAAATGACAAACAGATATAAGAAATAATTTAAAAAACTAATAAAAATGACAAAAGAAAACTAAAACATAAAAGTTAATTCAAAATAATAATAATTTTTATTATAGTATATAAATAATGCTAAAATAACACTTTAAGATGTGGCTAGATATGGAACATTTGTGGGGAATGATATAACATTTAAGTGGGTTAGATTGTAATATTATGGCATTTCTATGTTTTTACAGGCTTCCCTCTGCCTCAAGAGGTATGCATGAGCCACCTGCTGATGGAGGTCAGTCAGGATTCAACTCATCTGGAATCTGGATGGAGACACCTGTAATTTACATAACCATACATTAGTTTGAATGTATATTTGTGTGTTGACTTTTACACCTTTCTTTACATAAGGATGAAGAGGATCAGGCATATTTAACGGATGAACTGGGGAACATTGAGCTTGCGCACAGCTCTGTACCCAGGACTGATTCAACAGAGTCCTCCTCGGCTCCTCAGGCTGAGAAAGCGGAGGATTGGGGAGAGTGGCCTGATGACCCTGCTTATCTGGAAGCTCTGCAGGAAGTAGAAAGGGCCACTGAAGAGGTACCTGATGAGCTTCTGCTCCAGGCAGTGACTGAGTGTGAATGATGGCCTTGTAACCTAAAAGTCTAAAATATGTTCTTAAATTCTGTTTCCTAACAAACTGTATTTTCTAAATGTTCAAAGATGATTTATTTCCATAAATTATTTTAGATTATATGACTTGGGATATTACAAGTGTGTAACATTTATTAGCTTTTATATACATAGATGGATTAATTTAGAAGCACAATACTTGTTAGCCTGAGTAAATAAAAATGAGAAATAATACAAAATAATCTGTGCACAGGAATTTGTGTGTATGTATGTATGTGTGTGTGTGTGTGTGTGTGTGTATATATATATATATATATATATATTAAGCATCTAATACATTTTAAATCATCCTGTATACATTTAATGCTGAGAAATATTGCATATGTTTTGTCTGATTGTGGACACCTTTGACCCCTTTAAAGATCCTCATATGGATTTGATGTAATTTGACGCAGTGTAAAAATCTTACATTTTAAATTTAACTGTTGCTTTAAATTAAACATTTGTAAATATAAGTAAAATAAGTGTTGCCAAAGTTCATTGTACCGTTTCAACCACTTTAGTTTTAATTTTGAAACTGAAAAAACATAAATGGAGTAAAAATGACAGATTATTGTGAAAAGTTAATTGGATGGAAAAATGATTTTTGTTACTTTTCTGATTCATAGAATCACTGTAAAACAAACAAAAAAAATGTATTATCAAATGTAGCACAATAAACACTTGATTTAAAGTGTCCTGTTTCCTCCACTAGAGAGCAGCAGTGGTCTATTACTGAGCAGAGATGCAGCACAGGGCTGGATATATAGTATGTTGCTGTATAAATATAAATCTGAGAATAGCTGAGGTGGGTTTCCCCAGCTGAATCTTGCTTCTCCCCAAGGAAGTATAGTTTTTCATTTCTCTGCAAAGCTGCTTTGGAACAATGTGCATCATGAAAGGCCAAACATGCTTTTTATTTCTGATATGCTTCTGTGTGACAGATTGAAAAATATTTACATATGCAAACAAATAGAAATTAAATCTAAAATCTAATTTTATCTATCTCTATCTTTTCACTGGAAGAGTGTTTTTCTGTATTGTTTCCTATATTGGGATGTTTTCCCATAAATCCCATATTTTTATTAATGAGTTACTATTATTAACAGTAACAACTTCATTAATAATAGACTTTATCATCTAACAAAGAAATATGGGTTTATTCTATTCCTATTCACCACTGTATGTATACAGCATTTTAAAACTTTTTTCAATTAGAGTGTCTCCGTGAACTTTTCTACATTTTAGAACTCACCTTCACCATCAGGTTTTGTGTGATTTTTGTAATCTCAGGTCAGTGAGAGAGGGACATTCTAAAGCATGTAAGAATTGGCAGGCAAGTCTGTTGTGCTCTTACTGAAATGGACTTTTGGAGGGGTCATATCAGAAAAAAAATTGATTAACATTACATATGGACTTGAAAAAAATAGGATCACCCCTCTACAATACCAGTGAAGCAAACTTTTAGATTTAATATTTAGTGAAAGTGAAAGTGACGTGATATGTGGCCAAGTATGGTGACCCATACTCGGAATTAGTGTTCTGCATTTATCCCATCCAAAGTGCACACACATAGCAGTGAACACACACACACCGTGAACACACACCCGGAGCAGTGGGCAGCCATTTATGCTGCGGCGCCCGGGGAGCAGTTGTGGGTTCGGTGCCTTGCTCAAGGGCACCTCAGTCGTGGTATTGAAGGTGGAAGAGAGCGCTGTACATTCACTCCCCCCCCACCTACAATCCCTGCCGGTACGAGACTTGAACCTGCAACCTTTGGGCTACGAGTCTGACTCTAACCATTAGGCCACAACTTCCTGATTTATTGTGTAAAGAGTTCATTTAGAATCTTTAGATGTATACTCTTAGACATTTAAATTGCCATTTAAATGTGAAGATTAATTTTAAATTAATTTTTAGACATTAATCAATATGATAAATGAAGTAAAAGAGGCTCGGTTGGTTTTTATTTGCAATAAATACTCATTTGCTCATGGAGCATTGTCATTTTGTGTTTTAAAAAAGATGGGCAGTGAACATATACTGTAAGTCTTTGAACAGTGGTGGAGATGAACAGTGATGTCCGATCCAGCTGAAAACAGGTGGGGATGATGCCATGATGAGACAAGGACATCATAATTCAGGATAGGAGAGCGGTGGTGTCACATTCCAAGAACAACCAGATCACCTGATTCTGTGCAGTGTGTCTCTCTGAGTGACCCGAGAGCATGATGCACAACATGTGGTGCGATAGTATGAGTACACACACAAACGGGCCTGGACTACCACCACACAGTTAGAGTACATATCCCTGCAGGACTCATCTACAGAGAGAGACACAAAGAGAGAGAGATCTTAAAGGTACGGTTCACCCAAAAATGAAAATGATCATCTGTCATCATCATATTATCCTAACCTATATGTTTTTGTTTGTTTGATTGTTTTTTACATTGAGTTCCACATAGTTTACACTTTATTTGTGTTTTTTGTAATTGTGTGGATCTTGATAGTTATAGTCTCCGTTCACTTTAATTCATTTTATGGAAAAGAGCAGTTTATTATCATTTTTAATTAACTTGCTTTTATATTTTCTTTTTCATTTTAGTTTAATTTCTTAATATATATTTTTTTTTCTATATGTGACCCTGGACCACAAAAGTCATAAGTAGAATGGTTATATTTGTAGCAATAGCCAACAATACATTGTATGGGTCAAAATCATCGATTTTTCTTTTATGCCAAAAATCATTAGGATATTAAGTAAAGATCATGTTCCATGAAGATATTTTGTAAAGTTCCTACTCTAAATATATAAAAACGTAATTTGTGATTAGTAATATAAATGGCTAAGGACTTAATTTGGACAACTTTAAAGGAGATTTTCTCAACATTTTGATTTTTTTTGCACCCTCAGATTCCAGATTTTCAAATAGTTGCATCTCAGCCAAACATTGTCCTATCCTAACAAACCATACATCAATGGAAAGCTTATTATGTATAATGGAATGCTTATGATGTATAAATCTCAATTTAAAAAAATTGACCCTTATGACTAGTTTTGTGGACCAGGGTCACATACAGATTTTTATGTCTGTTTCAGTTTTAGCAATAGTACTTCAAATGTATTTAAACATATTTTGGCTGTTTGCCAAGACAACATTTCTAATTTTCATTTAAATTTATGGTTTTCATCTGATATTTACATTTTAATTCAGCTTTATTTCAATTACTGAAAATGTTTTTGAATAGTTTTAGTTAACAATAACAAGACTTGTTGATTTGTATCATGACTTGTAAAAGACTGGCCATAATACGGTAATTCACAGCTTTAGTAGAGAGAGATAATTATTTCTATAATAAGTGTAAACAAATGGAAAAAACTGAAATATATACAAATGATTTAGAATTTAATCAAATCAAGAGCTTGTGAATAAGATTCGAATTGGGAAATCTGTATCGATACCCATCCCTATTGTGGTATAACATAAGTAGAAGACAGAATTATAATTTTCGAGAAGGGTGTATTGTAAAAAAGTAAGAAAATCATACCAATCGGTGGCATGCAGGTGTGTGTGTTACAATTCTCCTTGTTTGCAGGTTCAAGAGCAGGATCACAGTCATGGCTGTTGGTCAGATCATCTTGCAAACAACGTACTTCTCTCACTCGAAAGCCTCCGTCACAAGAACGAGAACACTGAGGCAGTTAGAAACATTCTTGTTAAATAAGTCAGTTGAAATAACTGGATTGAATTTGCACTGTGAGTGAGAAAACCTTACTGAGCTCCACTCCGTCATGTACCACTGTGATCCACAGCTCTTCAAAAAGCAGGTCTGTGCATTCGGAGGACGGGGCAGATGAGTGCAATGGGCTTCTGAGGTGACTTCTAACTGGCCACTGTTTTGGACAACACAGACCACACCTCGACTCTGGGTACCATTGCCACATTCAGATGAGCACTGTGACACACACATACATATTAAACCTCATGTTGTGATCCAGTCATTTTGACCTGGAGAGGATTTTCTTTTTTTCCGAAAATGCTAGTTAATTTGCTAGTTTTAGCCTAATGCTAGTTACTGACTTTGTTTACACAGGGTACAACAACTTCCCCCTCGAAAAATGTAATTCTTTTTTGGGGTGTTTTCCCCCAGGCTTGTTACACTTGTGGTATTCTGGGTCAAAAATGGCCAGCCTACAAAAAGCCTGCTTTCTCTTTATGCTATATTATTACCAAACCTTGGATTCTTGGATCTTTTCATCAGCTTGTTTTCTTCCAATTAGCACAAGTTTTGTATTTCTTTTTGGAACTTACTGATCGTAGGCCTTAAACCTCTTTTTCAGTGAACATTCCCAAAATTATCCACAAATAATGCTTTCTTCACTCAAAATCTGAAGTGCATAAGCTCAGATAAATGAGGCCTACGACCATTCAGTTCCAAAAAGAAATACAAAACCTGTACTACTTGAAAGAAAACAGGTTAGCAAAAATATTGAATCTGATGTTTGGCGATAATATAACACAATTGAAAGATTTACAAGCAATTTTTAAAAGGCCGGTCAGTTTTGACAGGCAGCATCAAACTACAGTAGGTAAAAAAAATACAGTGTTTGACTTTTCTGCATGCATATGTGTTTGTTTGTTCATGTACCTGTCCCCACGATCCTGTGTACCATTCCAGTCGCTGTGTACAGGGTCCCAGGTCACACGGCATGAGCTCGTCAGGTTTATCCTCATCGTCGCAGTTGTCCAAAGGCAATGAGTTGGTCTGACTCATCATACACACCACTGACCGGCTGCGACTTCCTTCCGCACAGTCTGCAGAACACTGCAGAGAGACATAAGCAACTGTTTTAGAAGTACTACTGCAAAATACCAAAGAAAAACGCACAGATTTCTCACCCTGTCACTCCAGAGAGAGTAGAACCAGCTGCTGGCACACACTCCTTTGTCACAATTCTGCAGGTCCTGTGGGCGAAGGGCCATATTGCATTCCTCATCAGCAACAATGTCACCCAGGTTATCCACACACACAACTTCTCTTTTACGCTGACCTACTCCACATGGCACTGAGCACTGTTAGAGAGAGAGAGAGAGAGAGAGAGAGAGAGAGAGAGAAAGAGGTTTATCTATAACCAGTGTTTTCTCTGAGCACTTTATATTGATGGCTGTTGATTTCCAAAGACCATCATCTGGTGAATATGTAGCCATAATATATTGTATATTGTGTCATAAACAAATATAATGTATATAATATTTCGTTTTTACATCTTCTCTTCTTTTCCACATATATACTACCATTCAAAAGTTTGGGGTCAGTAAACTTTTTTGATATGTTTGAAAGTGTCTTATGCTGACCTAGTCTGCATATATTTGATCAAAAACACAGTAAAAACAATCTTGTGAAATATTACAATTTAAAATCACCTTTGGAAAGTATTTAAACTATTTATTCCTGTAATGACAAATAAAGCAATAAGCCCCGAGAAGCCATGGTTCACAGTGAATTTAGGCATGTTGTTAGGCACGACGCGAAGCGGAGGCTTTTATTAAACGGTTATTCCATATACGTAGTAAGGTTTCACAGAATAAAACAGAGCAAATAAAGTGTAATGATATGAATAAAAACAGTATTCTTCCACCAAACAATGTAGTTCCTCAGAAACAGTTGTGGTTCCAACAAAGTGGTTGCCAAGTAACACACAGAAGTAAACAAAGGTGTATGTTTGTAGTGTAATTTACAACAGATCCGAACGCAGCTCAACCAATCAGAATCAAGGACCGGAACTATCCGTTTTATAAGCTGAATTTTCAGCAGCCATTATTCCAGTTTTCAGTGCCACATGATCCTTCAGAAATAATTCTAATATGCTGATTTGCTGCTCAAGAAACAGTTCTTATTACTATCAATTTAAAACAGTTGAGTTGTTTAATATTTTTGTGGAAACTGATACATTAAAATTTTTTGATGAATAGACAGGTCAGGTTTTACGGTCACTTTTGATAAATTTAATACATACATGAAAAAAGTATTAATTAAAAAAATTATAATAATAATTACTGACCCCAAAAGTTTGAATGGTAGTGTAAGGAGAGAGTGAGGTCAGATGAACCACCATCTGTATTTACGAATATTTAGGAAACTGAACAATTCATAAAGTCATAATCTTATCATAAAGTGACCCCAAGAAATATTTCACTTAAGCCATTTTTAACTTTATCCAATGCAATGAAATGAATAAATTTTTTGATGAAGCTCACTGTATACAAAAACACTCTTCATGTCTATCTTTTCAGTCTGTGATTTATATATATATATATATATATATATATATATATATACTGTATGTATATAGTATATTGTTAATTTTGTTAGTTTGTTTGTTTTTGTAAATAATAAAGAATGATTCGTTCTTATATAGCGTTATTTAGTATTATTTGTACTAATTTTATATTTATTACTTATACTATTGTTACGGATGGTTTCTATTTATTTCAGGTGATCAAGATGTCATGAAAAATAATTATATGAATAAAAACAGTATTCTTCCACCAAACAATGTAGTTCCTCAGAAACAGTTGTGGTTCCAACAAAGTGGTTGCCAAGTAACACACAGAAGTAAACAAAGGTGTATGTTTGTAGTGTAATTTACAACAGATCCGAACGCAGCTCAACCAATCAGAATCAAGGACCGGAACTATCCGTTTTATAAGCTGAATTTTCAGCAGCCATTATTCCAGTTTTCAGTGCCACATGATCCTTCAGAAATAATTCTAATATGCTGATTTGCTGCTCAAGAAACAGTTCTTATTACTATCAATTTAAAACAGTTGAGTTGTTTAATATTTTTGTGGAAACTGATACATTAAAATTTTTTGATGAATAGACAGGTCAGGTTTTACGGTCACTTTTGATAAATTTAATACATACATGAAAAAAGTATTAATTAAAAAAATTATAATAATAATTACTGACCCCAAAAGTTTGAATGGTAGTGTAAGGAGAGAGTGAGGTCAGATGAACCACCATCTGTATTTACGAATATTTAGGAAACTGAACAATTCATAAAGTCATAATCTTATCATAAAGTGACCCCAAGAAATATTTCACTTAAGCCATTTTTAACTTTATCCAATGCAATGAAATGAATAAATTTTTTGATGAAGCTCACTGTATACAAAAACACTCTTCATGTCTATCTTTTCAGTCTGTGATTAATATATATATATATATATATATATATATATACTGTATGTATATAGT